TGGTTTGAACTGAAGTAAGTATCTGTGAAGGTCAAACAACGACGTCGAGTGTAGTGGGCAGTCTCTCCGAGGTATGGATAGGGCATTAAAGAACATTAATTTAGCAGAGGACGAGGGTTTTGTTGGGCACGTGACATCCATGCTTGCTGTTGCACTCCAATTGGTCTATACTTCAATATTTCTATCAACCAATAATTGAATCTTGGACTAAGGAATCTCTCCACCAAGATCAATAGAATCTTTATTAGTAGAGAAATGATATTCATCCCCACTGAGGATGCATCATCAGTCTATGACTCTATGTAGCGTTAATGTGGCATTAAATGATAGGTGAAATTAAATAGCGTTAATGTGGCATTAAATGATAGGTGAAATTAAATAAGTTATTTAATTTCACCTATAATTTAACCAATCATTTAAATCCACATAAATTGGGGATGCATCCCCACTGGGGATGAATAGCATTTTTCTTATTAATAAAGAAGAAATAATCTTCGTACTAATGCAGTCAAAATTGTAAGATATTTATCATTTTGGGCTTGATATTGGGCTGGACTTATTAATGGGTAAACTGGAATCCAAACTCAGGCCCAAAACGACTGTTGGTAATTGGACCAAATCCTACCCACGTAACAGACTATATACCAATATCTAAGGGAACAATACGTAAAGAGGAAAGGGAAAAATTCATAAATAAAGTGTATTCTTTACACCAATTCAAAAATCAGGTTTATAGTTTGAAAATTCAAAAATCAGGTTTTTTTTCCTAATGTAATATAATATAATAAACTCACCCCACATGCACCGCTCCGGGGACTATTCCGGGGACCATTCCTACGACCACTCTTCTCCGACGACCATTCCGACGACTGCTCCGATTCCGACGACTATTCCGACAATCATTCCGATCACAGATTTATAATTTAATTGGTCACATATTATTTTTCAGTCACAAATAATAATTTTTATATATCACATATTATTTTATGGTCACAGTTCAAAAATTTTATACGTCTCATTTAATTCGTTGGTCACAAATTTCAAAATTAGTTGGTCACAGATCAACATTTATAGGTCACACGGTCACAAATTTCCAAATTAGTTGGTCACGGATTTTTTACGGTCACAGATTATATAATTTTTAGGTCACAGGTTACAAAATGGTTGTTCACGGATTATCGAATAAGGTCACAGATTATATTTTTAGTCACATGACCAAAATACACAGTCACAAATTTGAAAATTTGTTAGTCACAATTAAATACTTGGTCACAGTTAACCAAATGATAGGTCACAGATAACCACCGCGGCACCACCACTACTATCGCGCCACAACCACCAATCTCACCAGTACGGCCAACATCACCATTGCCTTGCTACCGCACGTTAACAACAACCACCACCCCATATACACACATATTCGCCACTGACCCACCAACAAATTAGATCAAAAAATGCCAGCATCCTAGCACCCTACACTATCTCCAGCATCACACTCCACCACCACACGACAACCCATCCCACCACCACCTCCTGCAGACTGCTAACTTCATTATCACTGCCAGGATGGAGCAGAAACCAATCTCAGCAGCTAACAAACGATTTAGGTTAACTGTTACAAAATGCGAAAATAGATTATTTACAAATCGATTAAAGGTCATCAGCTCAAAATGGGAAGGAGATGAACAAAACGGTCAGCGCCTCGTCGACGCTGCTGCAACGTTGCTAGGGAGAGGGAGTGGGAGGTGTACGAGGATGGGGAAGGGAGGAGTAGCAGGCGGAGGTGCGGGCGGGCGGTCAAGATCTTGTGAGGCGGTGGACGGCGAGACAAACCGAGCAGAATATTTCTTCATAGAAGAGAGAGAAAGTAGGAGAGTGCAGTTACAACGAACATGATTGTTGATGTGGCGGTGGTCGACGGTCGGCAGTGGGGAGATTTACAGAGGGGAGGGGAGGGGAGAGGAGGTGCCAAAGGCGCTAGAGAGAGGGAAAGAGGTGAGGGAATTGAAAGGGAAAAATTAGGGTTTGGGATTTAATATATGACCTGATTTTTTAATAATGAAACTTGGTCCTGATTTTTGAATTCTATTCTTCAAACACCTGAATTATTGTTACCATTTTCAAAAATCTAGAATCAACTTTAATAATACATAAATTCGGTTTTAATTAACCATTTTTAAATTAATTTTTATTTAAATACATTCTACACAATTTTCAAACCCTAATTTCATCTTCTCTCTCCCCCCCCCCCCCCCCCCCC